TTGTAACGATCCGGTACGCCCGGTTGCTGTGATGATGTCGGTGGATGATCATCATGTACGAGTCGTGATCACCCCTTGGATCATGATGCGTTGGGAGATGACATCGACAGGGACGACGATGAAAGAGGAGACGAGGGAGGCGGTCGCTCCTGCCGCCAGGTTCGTCCATGCATCTGACACAAGTCACAAACATGATGTGATGTAGATGTGTCGGGTGAAGGAGAGAAAGAGTGACTCACTTGTACTGGCTGGGCCCCTTGTGCTCGGAAGATGAGCTCTGACAAATTCGAGGGTGACACAACTGATGAATTGAACGGGGAGAATACCGAGAGTTACCGTAGAGAACCCACGATAGAGACCTCCACGAGGGTAAGAGGATGAAGGACTTTACGTGATATCACCTGATCGCCCTTCGAATCGATATGTCTTTTTGAATGTGTCGATCATACCAGTATATCGATTGCCCTTCCAGCGGTGAGTTATTCGCCTCATAATCGACACGCACCTCTTGGATTTGGAGCCTGGTTTTTACTAAAGTGAGAGGATACAAAATAATTCTTACACCCACAAAGAAAACTGTTCAGATGAGGAGTCGAGACGAAGGGAAGACAATCACCAGAGTTCCAAATGCAGAAGCGCCATAGGTCCAAATGATGCCAATCGATCTCACTGGGAATAGCCTCCCCTATGTCTGGATAGAACACGGTGTCCTCTTCATCTTCGCTCATGCTCGGAGGCAAAATGTTCCGTCGGTTGTACATTTCGTTGTAGATCAATAAGATATTTACGCTCAATTTTCTTCTTTCTCTTGCTTCCATCATGATGACAGAGAATGATCGACGACATGTAGTGTTACAACATTTATTGCTTTCTCTTGGGCAAGTACTTCTTCGCCTCGGCAATCTCTCTCTCCATCCAGAAGATGGCACCTTGAGCCACACCTCCCTTCCTCTTCACCTCTGTCAGATAGTCCTGTATTCCTTCAGTCTCTTCCTCTTATCATCGAACATCACCTCAGCCGCCTGCAATTTCGCCTCCGTTTCTTTTACTGCCTGGGCCACTTGTTTCGTCTTCTCTTCTGCTGCCACTGTTGCCGCCTCAGACGCCTTTCTCTCCTTCTCTACCTTTCTCAACGCGGCTTCCTGTCTGGCGTCAGCGTCGTCGTACATCCATCTACAACGGTTCACCTGAGAGATTTTGGCCTTTCTGAGGGGAAGAGGATCTTCACTCTTGACTTGACTCAGCTCGGCGGCAGCCTTGTTGCGGGTGACTAGACCGACAGATGTGTCTTTGCTCTTCGTTTCTAAACTGCTGACCAGGTCTGAATAAGCCTTTTCTTGGGATTTCAATTCGTTGACTGCAGCCTGAGGAGAGATCAGCGATGGTGATTTGATATGGTGAGATGATGGTCACCTGTTGGTCGGCTTCGGCCTTGCGGACGTGTGCTTCTTGCTCTCTCTGGGCGGCGAGAGCGATCTTCTCGTTCTCTAATTTGGTTTGGACGTCTGCCAATGCGGCCTGTGCCTCTGAGAGGAGAGCTTGGGCCCTGTTGATCTCATCTTGGTTACCTCCCTGGGGTGCCTCCACGATCTGTCGTTCGAATGAGACCGTGTTGATTGAAGGAGGTGTGAGGCTCACCTGCTTCAGAGACTTGTTGTAGCGGAAGGCGAGGTACTCTAGGAGTGAGACACTCTTTCCATTGACGAGAAGACCTCCCGATCTCAGCTTCTCACGGAGGGCGATCACAGTGTGGGTCTCTTTGGCATCTTCTAAGAACTGTGTCGGTGTCAGTGGATGACGGATCGTCGGGAGGATCGAAGTGAACCTTGTGGGTCCAGAACTCGTCCAAGAATGATCCTTCCTTCTTCTTCGCCTGTGATGATTTCAGCTGTTGTTCGCAAATGTAGAGTCGCACCTGGTCGAGCTCGATGAACTTGTGTGTGAAGTTCCAGATCTGTTCGGAATCATGCTGGATCTCATCCCAGAAGCCATTCAAGAACCATTTGGCCTGGAATTCGTAGTTCTTGTGTGTCAGCTCGGTGAACTCGGTAGAATCTTTAGACATGGTCGTTGCTCGCTGGTGGATCAGTTGGATTGTGTTCACCCCGACCCCACAGCCGGAGCGATAGGCTGATGACATTTATCACGTGACCAGGCTATCACCACAGGGCTCGTTTCAGAAGTTCTCGGTGGCGGATAGTCCAAGCGTATTTCTGAGAGGACCTACTGCCCCCGTGTCTCATGTTCCATGTTTTCCATTCAGCTGACGATAGGACAACAACTAGCGTGAGATGGCCACAAGTGTAGATACAACAGGTTTTAAGGCCGCCGATTTCACCGAAATTTATACCTCGACTTCCGTCCTTATCCAAAACGCCCCACGACAACATGCACAAGCTGAAAGGCATCTTCCATCATCATCACCACCACCACATGAAACACGACGACGAAATGAAGATCTCGGAGCCTCAGTATTGCCCGGTATCACCGAAAGAAGAGGTCACATCGCATTCAGAGAAGGAGTCTTCACCAGCAGCTGAAGAAGTGACTGAATATCAGAATACGGCAGAATTGGAAAGGTGAGGACGTTCAATGGATTGGTGGAATGTCAGTTGATCTGATGATGGGGCCAGAATTCAATCATTGAATGATTTTGCGATGAGAAGAAGACAGCTGACGACGGATAACGGTTAATCATCAATATATATAAATGTAAGATAGAGCTGTCATCACCCTGGTTTGAGACGAAATATGAACGACGCTGGATCATCCTTCCGTAGGCAGTGATCGAATAGTCAAATGCGCTCACTCATGTACCGAGAGACGAGCCTGCTCATCTCAGATAGCACCTTCGGTCGACTCTAGCAGAAGTACGATAGATAGATAGAGAAAGACATCATCAAACGTGCGACAGCTCCTGCTGCAGGGAAGGCCAGAGACGATAGCCCAGGACATCGTGGAAACAAGGATTTAAATTATTTATTTCATTCCGCTTTCTGCGACCCAGAAAAATAAGCAGCGTCATGCGAGCCCATCTGATTCTCGCGCTTCTTCTCGTCTCAGTCTCTGAAGGGCTGATCCACAACTTGAAGATTAGAAATGATCCACGACAGCGGTTTTACATCCAGAGTTTCGGATTCGGTAGAGGGGGTTTTATGACCATGAAGATGAGCGGATTCAAGGTGATTCCAGTGCCCTCATTCAGGACTGATGCGGACAGGCTTCTGATGGAAGTAGCATCAGCGAAGATGCGATGAAACAGACCGGGTTTCTAATGCCACATACTGAGACAGACTCAGAAACGTTGAGCGAGGAGAATATAGTGTCAAAAGACGGTTGTCTAGATGGTGCCACGGTGGGTGCCACGAAGTACCATCTCAACTTTGTGGAGGGGTGATCTCATCTTAAACCTCTTTTCATCTCACCGAGGATAGAGTCTATTCTGAGGAGATAACGATCGCTAAAGGGAAAGAGGGACTATACAGTTTGTATTTCGTCAGCTGTATCAAGAAGCCCATCGACTTCGACGTGATTGACAATGTCGTAATGATGAATTTCTGAAGATGGAACAGTTGGAATTGATCCAATATAATGTGGACAAGAACAACAACAAGAACTATCTGTCCATCGGCCTTTCAAATCTGCCAACCATCTATGGAGTGTTCACCATCATCCACTCGGCCATATTGATCTTGTGGATCTTTGGTTTCCTCCTACCCAACGGGTGAATACCTTTTTCCAAAAGAAGATGTGACGCTAATGTGTGACGAACAGAAACGAAGTCAACAAGCTACATTACGCCATGACGTTGTTGGTCTTCCTCAAGATCATGTCCTTATTCTTCCAAACGGTGAACGACATCATTCTATTCGCTTGGTTTATTCTCACAGATCGATCAATATTACGTGAAGACAAAGGGGTCTGCTTCTGGCTGGAATATTCCATTCTACATCTTCACCAGGTGATGATTGAACGCTCCACATTCGATGAATCATTTCTAATCTTTACTTTCCAGTCTGAAGGGTATCGCATTGTTTGTCATCATCGCTCTCATCGGTTCTGGATATCAATTTATCAAACCTTTCCTTCACGATCGTGAAAAGAAGATCTTCACTATCGTCATTACCCTTCAGGTGATGATCCATCACATGATTTCGCGATGATGCGATGGATCACGATGATGACAATGAACACAGGTGTTGGATAACATAGCCTTGATCATCGTGGAAGAGACAGCACCAGGATCCGTGGGTTGGTTATCATGGCAACACATCCTGAAGATCGTCGACGTCATCTGCTGTGGAGCCATCATCGTTCCCATCTTCTGGTCCATTCGACATCTCCGCGAGGCCGCACAGATTGATGGAAAAGGTCAAGATTCTCTTCTCACGAAGGATATTCGCTCACATTAGTCAGCTGCCGTTAGCGTCAGGAAGCTTTCACTCTTCCGTCAATTCTACCTGACTGTCATCTCTTACGTTTACTTCACGAGGATCATCATTTATCTCGTGGAGGCCACATTACCCTATCAGATGGTCTGGTTGGGTCACATGTCTTCAGAGGCAGCCACTCTCTTGTTCTTTGTCATAACGGGTTACAACTTTAGGTGAGTTGAATGATTGACAGATGGATTCTGATGATAGAACAGACCGAACGTCGAGCTGAACAAGGATCTTGCGATCGATTTAGATGAGATTGAAGAGTTGGGGGTGGTCATCCCTCTAGACAGTGATGAGGAAGAGAAGGAGGATCACAGGGAAGATGAGAAGGTTGGCAGATTGTTAACCTCGAACAACAAGGAGATTGTACGGGATTGATGAGGGAGAAATACATACCAATATAAGAGCTTCGGTCTTTTTACAGATTATCCATCACTCTCATTGTATTCGATCTCTCATTACTGATTATGACCATCAGATAGGTTATACATCCTTTTTGGGAGAAAATTTGAACGAATTTTACATCCATACACATAGGATAGGTCGTCGCAGCTTTCATCAGTCTGCGTAGCTCAGTCGGTTAGAGTGTAGGTCTCATATCTACGAATCAATAGGGTCATCCTAAGGTCGCGAGTTCGATCCTCGCCGCGGACAACTTTTTTTGCAATTTGATTTAGGAAAAAGGGTGGGAGAGGCAGGGATTATGGTGCATTCCTCCATTTTACGACCATTTACATCCTTTTGCATCATCAGATGATTCATACAACCATTAAGATGTATCGCATGTTCTTTTTGTCGAGACATTTTGGGAAAAAGACACTTTTTTGTAACTCACGATTCACACACTTTCAGTATCGATAGATGCCACAACACAATCGGTGGCTCGATCCTCGCCGCGGACAGCAGTATACTGCATTCTAGATTTATCGTTCATTATCACATCTTTTCGCACCCTTACGCTGACTCGATCCTTCCCACGGATGATATCCATTGATCTCGAGGTGACTCGTTTCCCGAACACAAAATCGGCGGTTCGATCCTCACCGCGGACAACACCCGTTCATCTCCAGCGACATACAACATCAGCGGTTCGATCGGACAGAATCTTGTACTGCGAAAAAGGGTGGGAGGCTGAAATTATGATTCACTCATCACATTTTCTTTATGTCCGCGGCGAGGATCGAGACATTTCGAATCGAAAAACTTTTATGGTTCACAATTTCACGATGGATCCAAGAATATACAAATCTCGAAGGCAACAGTTGGATCGATATCTCCTTTCATTCGAAACGTGAAATTACGATCTTCCTCTGATGTCGAATGATACGGGGATGACACTCTCGTTCTCCACTTCGTATACGATCCTCTTGATCTCCCTCTCCCTCTCTGTCACCCTCTTCGGCTCGAACAGACACACAGAGGGTGCCGAGAAGAAGACATCCAGGTCAGCCTCCGTCATACTCAACAGATTCACCTTCGAACATCAGTCTCGGTAGTATCGATACGATTGGATGACTCACGGTAGACTCTTCCTCTCCTTTCTGTTGTTCCCCTTCACTCGTCGTCTCTTCGATGATGTCTCTGAACATAAAGTCTTCATTGAAGAAATGTCTGTGATGTAACTGTGCATACTGAAGGCATAATCCGATCTGTCTCTGTAAGGATCATCATCACATGGAATCATACCTTCATCGTTCGAGTATCTCTCTGCATGTCTTCTGCCTTCCATTCAATAAACATGGAGATCTGATTGCACATGTCGTGATACTGTGCGTACACGTATCTCTTGATTTCGTCTGTCTTCTCCTCATCCCTCTTTCCTCTCACATACGCATCGAGATATCGCATCATCATCTCTGTTCGCAATGAGACAGACATAACGAAGGATGACCCACTGTAGAAGGCTGGATCTATGTCCTGCGAGATATGCATTCGATCGGATAGATGCACATCGTCGATGCATCTCTCTGTCTTCTTCTCCTCCATCTGAGAGATGACATCGTACCACTCTTCCATATCATCCACCGTCAGTCTTCCATGGGTGATTCTGATCCACTCGATGTAGCCTCTCCATGTCTGTATCACCTACGGAATCAATTCCTACTGTTCGTGTCCATCATCGATGTCACCTCTCGCATCGTCGATTCTAATGTACCCGATCTTATCTTCTGGCACAGTTCCTCCGTGAACTCTCCCCTCACTTGATCGAAGTCGTATTGGTCCATCCAATGTAACGACCGCCGGTGGCCCAGAGAAGAGAGACTGCAGCTGCTTCCTTCGGTTGGTCTGTCTTGACCAAGAGCTTGACCAATCGCTGGAAGTCGCTTTGTAGGAGGCAATTGTCGGTTGTGTTGGTGCCGCGTTTCGCGACAATGGCCTTCGACAGGAGCGGATACATCTGCCTGACGGTGCTACGAAAGATCGTCATCTCTTCTTGAGAGGTGTCGATCGTAGTCTTGTTCTGTGAGATTTCAATCCAGATGTATCATCCATATGCAATGGTCACCAGAGACACTCGGTCGTAGGCGATGGCACCGTAAACGTAATGTTCTGCATATGGAGGAATGAACCTTCGGTAGAGACAGAGGTGCACTGCAAAGTCGATGGCATCCTGATCGGATCAGAAATGGAATTTGTGAAATTGTGATGATGTCACCTTCAGACAGATGTTACCTGCGTCTGCAACGGGTGTTCCTGCAGCCGCTTGATGCTTGACGAATTGATTCCACATGGAATGTCCTTTCTTTGAGAAGCCCAGTGGCACGGTCGGTGCCCAAATGGTGTTGGTGTTGGGCGCTGCGACGGTGATGGGGCTCTGAGCCGGACGTGGCATAGAATCTGTGAGGTGATACTTCTTGATATATGTATCCCAGAGATTCGAAGTGGCTGTCTCATCGAGCTCTTCTTTCGTGATTGGTCTTCCAAGTCCCTGATGAACGTCATCTGTGTGATTCAAATATTACAATTAAATAATATAACATACCTGAGGGCTTGATGAAGGTTGAGACGGGTTCATGTCATTGTGAATGGGTGGTGGTGAGTTCATCATGTCAGAAGCAGCCGTGATGAGAGAGATATTCGTGGGGTGTATCTCCTTTCGAAGATCGTGAGAGGTGTTGTGGGTGTGGTGAAATGTCAAATTGAAATATGAAATAAAGCCTTTTCATTTTGGACCGCCATCTTTTTCCAAGAATTTCTCAATCGAAGGAATTCGAACGAAATTTCATAAAACGTAATCCATTTATATAAAATCGTGGATAAGGAAGGAATGCGGTACACGCCCATTCAATTCCCTCTACCTCGACAACTGAAGAGATCTCTGCTGTCCGTGATCTCCCTTCATCCTGTAATAGACTTCCTTGAATCGATCCCTCTGTTGAGTGCACAGGAGCAGCTGTCTCTCCAGACGGTCCTTCAGCTCCTTCAACTCGGTGACACCCTCTAAGAACATGTCCTCGTACTTTGAATCCTCCAACTTGTGAAAGTGATTCACCACCGAGACGCTCACGTCCGATAGCCTAAGACGATTTATCTCTCTCGACGATCGTTCCACTCACATGGGATCCAAGAAGAAGGCGTTCATCTTGTTCCTCACGTACTTTGCAAAGAAGAAACGGATTCCGGCGAACATCTTGGCTGAAGAGATGGCCACGCGACGGTAACCGTCTTCGTCCGTGGTTAATCTCGATGGATTCGCGTTCGCCTTTCTCTCCATGATCGAACAGACTCTCTTCTTCGTGTCATCTGCAGTAGCTTCGAGATAGTCGTACTCTCTGTGGCATCGTTTAATAGATCGTTAAATTGAATAGAACGATAGAAGGGATCTCACTCTGGATCTTGGCCTCCCTGTGAACTGAGGATGTCCCAGTCGGCGACGCGAGTGAACATGACGAAATCGGCCTTGAGGCGAGCGCGGCAATCGGCCTCGGTGGCTTCAATGAAACCGTTGTACGTGTTCCTCAGTTCATTGACGAACCTCTCGTAGACCGATAAGATTCCAACTTGCTTACGATCGGGGTCGTTCTTCAAGACCTTGTATAACGTTAGACGAAAGAGAAGGGTAGATTTCACCTCGATGGCGATGGAGAAGAGTCTCTTCATGACGTAGGAACACCTCTGGAGTAATACGTCGATGAGAGGGAGGAAGACGTTCTTCGCTTTCATCTGAACGAGATTGGCCGCCGCCATCTCTAACACGGGGGCCGCGTGCATCTTTGTCGTTCCCATGGCTGAGGCGACCTAACGTGATGGGTTAACAATCTCTCCACCATCAGGTGTCACCTCCGATGGAGAAGTCTTTGGAAATTCCCTCGAGTGGGCGACGTATTCAAACTCGTTGAGTAGGCGAGCGTACTGAGCTCCTCCGTAGATCTTCAGCTTCGAATTTTGGATGTCAAAGTCGATGTCGAAATCGGGCCAGTCGGCGACGGTGGAAGATAATTTCTCTTCCAACAGCGTCTCTCCGTTACGGTCGGGCTCTCCTACGATAGATCCTCCCAAGAGGGAATCGATGACGGAGACGAAACCGTTGACGTAAGTCTCCGCCTTTCGCTTCAAGACCTGGAAGGTGTGAGGGGAGGACAAATCGAATGGACTCACTTGGATGTCGTTCTGTTGTAGCTCTTGGGTGACCTGCTCGAGTTCTTCTGCCGTGCGCTTGCAGATGTCTTCGAGGGTGCGGAGGGTGGGGGATAGATTCTGTTGGAATCTCTCGTTGAGTGCCTTCTCCAAGTGTTGCTTGACGCGGAATAGTCCCAAGTGAGGGAGGAATCTTCCCTCGTCAAAGTTGACCTGTACAGATGAGAATGGATGAGAATGTGAATTGTATTCACCTCCATCAACTTTGAATAATCATCCAGAGAGGCATCACGGATTCCGTCGCGGAATCGAGAAGCCTCGAGATCTCTGCGAAGAGGCATGGAAATGAAGAAGGGCTGTACACCCTGAGGTAGATTCTCTCCTCCCAGGTACTTGTTGGCAGATTCTTTGTTTCTCAGCTCCTTGACTCGATTGTCGAATTTGGTGTTGACCAAAACTGAAGGGATGTCAGAGGTGACGTCGTTGTAGATGCACTCACTGGTGCGAGAGAAATCAGGGTCGATCTGCCTAGCCATTGGGCGGGAGACGGAATTGGCCCATTCCACGGTGGACTGCTCCAAGCAGACGATGATACGGTGCTTGGGAAGAATGAGCTTGTGAACCATGTCCTTGATCTCGTTCTTCAATCTCTCGTCACCACCGAGGCGAAAACCCTGAGAATGTGAGAAAAAGATCAAATAGACGTGAAGTCACCGGAGTGTCGTAGATGGTGAGGTTGGCACAGTTGGCGAATTCCACGCGGAGGATGATGGGGACGTCTGATACCCTGTCTCCGGCTGAACCAGCTTTTTCGTTGGTCCTTCTGCAGATCTCGTCGACGAGACGGTGTACGGGGGTGTCGGAATCCTCGAAGGGCTCCTCGTGAACGCTTGGGTTTTCCTTTCGGAATCTGCATCTCGGTTGATCTCGGTCGGGGTTATTGATCATCTGGAGGATGAGAGGGCGACGAGTACCGATGTCTGTGATAGATGAGATGGATAAAGAGTAAAGTTGGGGCTCACTCGACTCGACGATGTTGAATTGGAAGCCCAAGAGACCCTCTACGAAGCTCGATT